CGGATAATGTAATGATATTGATAGTTGGTTTATTTGTCATTTGCATTACTATATTATCTGGGAAATCATAGGGCCGCAATATTAACCTATCTTCATCTTTTTGGTAATCTAAAATTCAATTAAATTCCTTTATGAAATTTAGGCCTAGAATTCCATCATCCCTGTTTTCTGTGAATTGTTAACTGTGATATTGTTTTTAATTTGACCCTTTTTGATAATTGATATGTCTGCTCCTGTATCTATCAAGAGAGTTGAAAATGAATCATTTAGAGTTGTCCTGGAAGTTACATAACTATTTAGGTGTAAGTTAAACACACATACTTTTTTCTTTGCTCTATTTACTGTTGATGTGGAGTTTGCTGGTTTTCCTGTTGTTGCAATTATGGACATGGCGGGTATTATTGCGATTAGTCGCTCGATTGATTTCCAAAATTCTTAGTGTGTTTTTGGATATTGTTATTTTGCCTGTTGTTATTGTTATAACGCGCATGATTACTATGAAACGCAGGACCTTGATTACTCCTATAGTTATTACCTTGATAACTTCTTCGAAAGCTACCACGGTAATAACCTTGCTGGCGTAGGTGTAGTACTGAATTGGGGCTACCCCCGTGACTTCAGTACAACTGTTAGTGAATTTCGATATAGCCTCGGTCATGGATGTGAACATTCCTGCTTGAATTATCATTTTTACTTTTTCGTTAGAACAATTCTTACACATGGCTTTTACAGCCGATTGTATAGCGTATTTTGTTGCTAAATCTGGGGTTAATCCATCAGATATGTACGCTCCTTCTAATGATTCTGTGAGTTTTTCTATTTCAGCAGTATATTGGTTAGCTGTTTTACTGCGTTGTTGTATGTTCAGTAGTTTTGCTGTCAAAACTTCCACTGATTCACCCTTAATAATATTTTTTAATTTTCGTCTTATCTGCTGTATCGAAGTTTCATTGTTAATGAAATTTCTGGATGTACTTTTTAATTTTGTTTTTATCATGGAAATCGCTATTGCTTCATGGCTCTCCTCGATTTGTTCAAGGATGGCAAGTGCATCTAAAAACCTAGTCAGATTTTCATGGTTGCCGTCAAACTCGGGTAGAATCGACGATACGGTCTTAATAAATTCTACCGTTTGTGCCATTTTGAATTTTGTGGTTTTGTAAATTATTTTCTGACATTCGATTTCCTCTTGTCCTTCTTCTAGGTCGGAAGGAGATTCCGACGAGAAGGTGCTAAAGTCAATCTGTATATTCTGTTCAAATGTAGTTGGTACTATCACCTCTATGTTGTACCTGGCTAGTGAGGATACTAATTTGTCCCTACCACTAGAAAATATTTGTTGTGCTTCTATTTGGTGACCGCTGGTGAGCTGGCTATTTACATTACGTATTGCCTTACCTAATCTATTAAATGATTCTAATACTATTGTTAAATGCTTTACTACTGTTTCTATTTTTATTGTTCTATTTCTGTTATTGTCCTTTCTTCTAAAAGTGTTTTGAAAATTTCCTCCCATTTACCCATTGAAAAGGGGAGAAGGAGCGGCGAAAGAAAAAATCGAATTTCTATCTAAACCTTATCCAGACCGTCGGCACGGCTCTGGTATCTTTTTTTCAAAAAGTTTGTATGAACTGAGTAAATTCTTAAAAACGGACTACAAGTACAAATCGTTATGACTACAAGCATGAGCTTAATAGTGTCTAGTGCCTTACTGTGGTCAACTACCTCAAAAGAATTCACAACATTGGCGTTTGGATTTTCTATTTTAGATTCGTTTCCACCCATTTTATAAAAAAAAATATAAAATATTATATAATATTAAATAATTAAGGTAATAGTAAATTGTTAGTAATAAATGGCCATGTAATAAAAGGCAAGAATCTTTGATCCTTGCCACTTAATAGGCAGCCGTTAGGTTGCCAAAATATTTTGTTAGTTTATTTAAATATTAAATAATTTAAATAACTGCAAGAATCTTTCAATTCTTGCCAATAAATAGGCAGCCGTTAGGTTGCCAAAATATTAATAATTATTATTTTGATATTAAATAAACGACGCCTTTTCTCCTTTTCCGGTCTGGATTCCTTGCTTGGCTAAACAGCCTAGATAGAGTCGTCGTCCTGGTTGCTTTTTACCTGAAGTTTCCCAGTGTAAATTTGCAAATAAGCTTGTATGTGACTCTGATTAGCACGTTCAGCGTCACGCAGTTTTTTGTTGAGGCAAACCGTTGATGAAAATAATGAGCTCCTGTTCGCCGAAATGAGTTTGCTGCTTGGCAATGGACATCAACTTGTTCATTTTGGAGTCGGAACGTTGCCCGGTTGGCGAGGTTGTGTAGCTTTTAATGTTAACTGCTACGTCAGCTGGTAACGGTGTCCTGCCAGTACGAAGGCAGCTTGCCACTATAAAAGGCAAGTTTCCGCTAGATATGGCAGGATCTCTTGACGCTTGAAGGCAGCTAGCCGCTATAAAAGGCAAGTTGCCGGTAGATTTAGCAGGATCTTTTGCCATTTGTAGGCAGCTTGCGCTATAAAAGGCAAGTTCCCGCTAGACCATGCAGGATCTTTTGCGGCTAGAAGGCAGCTTACCGCTATAAAAGGGAAGCTTCCGCTAAAGTGATCGCCATGTAATAAACGACAAGAATGACTGTTGCAGGGCAGTCGAGTGCTTATCGAATATAGCTGTTTATTAATTATTTCTTTCCTTATTTATAAAAATTTAAACTTATTTATTTCTATAATTTCTTATTTACTATAATGCATATTTATACTTCTTACATACTAGTCATACAAACTCATGTACGTACTAGAGAGCTGCACGATTACAATAAAAGGTAACATGTTAATAATCGGCGATGCCGATGCGGCGAGTACATGCTACATATGTAGCTGTAAATTTAGCATCGCATAATCGCCGCATCGTTGGCATCGTCAAGATAGTAACATGTTAGTAACATTCCGTTTTTTATGAAATTTTTGAGAGAGTGAGCAGAAAGAGCGTAAACATTGCATGTACGTACCAGGGATGAAAAAGTAGGTACAATTGTACCTTTTTCCGACGTTTGATGACTTAAAGGTACATTAGGTACAGTCAGTGGATTTTAGGTACAATTATTATTATTGACCCATATTCGCTTTTTGATTTCTGGA